AAGCTCTCCGGGCTCGTTTTTCGGCTCCTTAAGAAGTTTCGGGTGAAACCGTATCGCACTTGACTTTGTGCTCAAAGAGGAGGCACTCCTTTACCCGCGATGCGGACAAATCCTGTGGTGCTCGCCGCTGGCGAAACCGCTGCAGATGACGAAGAGCCCTTTGAACGATTGGTGCAGCAGCACTGGAAACTTTCCTCGCTGTACAACTCATAGTTGAGCCAGAAAGAAGTGGACACGCGCGCAGAACGCTATCTTCGGATTGAGTTTGCCAAACTCAAGGCGCGTCGCCGACTTCCTTCGCATTGTCTCCCTGCAACGTATGGGGTGATCCATCACATTCCCGCGAGCCCTGTGGTCTCTAACACGGGTGAGTCACTGACCGCAGCAGCTCACGGCCCTTCGGCTCCCCTGGCAATGGCCGGGGTACGCCGGAGTGCACGACGACGCGACACATCATGATCCCTCCGTTCATAAGCGTCCACGACGTATGGGTGGTCTTGCAGATTTGGCACTTTAAACTTTCACGAGTTCTCGAAGTCGGGGTATCCCTACTACTTCACAAGATACTGGGTTTGACTGTGGCGACGACGTCGACCCACAAGACGTTTCACGTGATAGTGGACACCACCATTCTCGTCGGGAAGTGTCGGTGGTGGACGATGACGACTGGTTCGACCGCCTTCCGGTGACTCGCGATGCTCTTCGAGCCCTTGAAGGTGATGGCTGTCGCAATCGGGACTCCGCTGAGCGGAAGCCTTAACAAGCTTGGAGTACGTTGTGTACCAGCTGGCTCACGTTGAGGACTATCGCGCTCTGTCGGAGCGGATCCTGCCGTTGAGCAGACGAATGCGTCGCTTCATGCGAAGGTGGAGCGCTTGGCGCCGATAGAAATGGAGATCGTTTCCGCGTTCAATTGCGCCGGATCCCGGTACAGCTTGAGCAAGCCCACATAAAACGCCGGGTGGGTGCGCATTTCTTTCGGAAGGTTTGACGTATACGCAAGACCTCGCTTCACACGACCTTAGAAGGACCAATTACCGTGGACGGAGCGTTGTCTTAAAAATAGCGGGTAGGAAGGTTCTTAGCATTGAATAAAACCAGGTCTCCGACCTAAAGTATCTAATAAATTTTACCTCTTCCATCTGCATATTCCTTCTGCATGTCTTGGTTTTCAGCCATCGCATCGCGAACGTGTCGTAAGACGCCCACTCTGGAAAACAGGAAGTCGTCGACTTCTTTACGAAACAGCGAGAAAGCCGACATCAGCTAGCCACTCGGCTATTCTTCCTTCACCAAGCCCTAAACCATGGGATGGCAGCGTCAGAGGGACGCGAGGATGAACGAGCTCGTTCACTCAGAGCGGCGTGTAGCCGGTAGACGAATGCACCGCATTGCTCAGAGCGAGCCCCACGAGTGGCAGCATGGCGCTTCGGCGCCTCGGCGTCTCAGAGCAGACGCCGCACCTTGACGACGCGATTCACGCGCTCAATTTGACCATCGGTCTGCAAATGGTCCGCTGTAGATACATCCAGCTTGGTGCCCAGCACCTTGAAGGTCGTCGACCAAAACTTCCCATTGAAACGTGGGTTTCTGTCAGAGATAACTGACTTCGGGAGTCCATGTTGTCGAAAGACACGATCCACAAACAGCGTCTCTGTACCGACACCGTCAATGGTGTTCGGCTCCGCAACAATATGATCCATCTTGCTCACACGGTCGACAAAAACCGCGACACCCCCGAGTCCTTCGGCAGGCCAAACACAAAGTTAAAACTCACGGACTGCCAACACCATGAGGGTACCGGCAAAATGTACAGCG